AACCCACCAGCCACTCCTTGGAAGGAAGATGGGGCAATCTACTTCCGTAGTGATACTGCCTTGGAAACCCAAGGAGTGGTCGCTATGAGTCGGGTCTGACTCGATGGCACATAACAACAACAACAACAGTAATTGGAATGTGAAAGGTGGAAATAAAGAAGAATTACCAGTAGCTGGAAACTACGGCCTTGGTGATATAAATGACATGGGATATTGCATGATAAAACTTCGCAAGACCAATGATTTATTCATAACAAATACTTTTTTCTACAACATAAATGGCAGTTATGCATGTCGACCTTGCCAGATGGAATACACAGGACTCAGACTGATTACTATCTGTGGAAAGAGGTGATGGAGAAGCTCAATATTATTAGTCAAATCAAGGCCAGGAGCTGACTGTGTAACAGACTATCAATCAATCACATGCAAGTTCAAGCTGAAGGTGAAGAAAATGAAAACAAGTCCATGAGAGCCAAAATATGACCTTGATTATATCCCACCTGGATTTAGAGATCATCTGAATAATAAATTTGACACACTGAACACCAATGACTGATGAGACAAGTTGTGGGGAGTCATTATAGCAAATCATACATGAAGAAAGCAAAAGATTATTAAAAGGACAGGAAAGGAAGCATAGACCAATATGGATGTCAGAAGTCATAAGAGACTCTGAAACTTGCTCTTGAACAGGGAGTAGCTAAAGGAAATGGAAGAAATGACAAGATAGAAGAGCTGAAGAGATTTCAAAGGCAGCTCAAGAAGATGAAGTCAGTTATTGCAATGAAATATGCAATGATCTGGAGTAAGAAAATCAAAAGGGAAGAACAAACTTGGCATTTCTCAAGCTGAAAGACCTGAAGAAAATATCAAGCCTTGAGTTGCAATATTGAAGGAATCTATGGGCAAAATATTGGATCATGCAGGAAGCATCGAAGGAAGATGGAAGGAATACACAGAGTCACTATATCAAAAAGAACTGGTCAATGTTCATCTATTTCAGGAGGTGGCATATGATTAAGAACCAATGGTATTGGAAGATGATGTCAAAGCTGAACTGAAGGAATTGGTGAAAAACAAGGTTCCAGGAATTGATGGAATACCCATTGAGATGTTTCAACCAACAGATATCACGCTGGAACTCATACTTCATAAATGAACTTATTCATCTATGCCAAGTACTTTTGAAGACAGCTACCTGGCCAACTGACTACAAGAGACCCATATTTGTTCCCACTGCAAAGAAAGGTGATCCAACAGGATGTGGAAATTATTGAACAATATCATTAATATCACACACAAGTAAAAGTTTGCTGAAGAAAATTCAGTAATGGTTGCAGCAGTATATTGGCAAGGAATTTCCATATACACAATCTGGATTCAGAAGAGGAAGTGGAACAAGGAATATCGGTGCTCATGTTAGACAAATCTTGGCTGTAAGCAAAGAATACCAGAAAGATGTTTACTTGTGTTTTATTGACTATGCAAAAACATTCAACTGTGTGGATCATAACAAATGAATAACATTGAGAAGAATGGGAATTCCAGAACACTTAATTATGCTCATGTAGAAGCTGTACAGAGACAGGAAGCTGTCATTCAAATGGAACAAGTGGATATTGCATGGTTTAAAATCAGGAAAGGTGTGCATCAGGGTTGTATCCTTTCACCATACTTTTTCAGTCTGTATGCTGAGCAAATAATCTGGGAAGCAGGACTACATAAACAAGAACAAGGCATCAGGCTTGGAGGAAGACTCATTAACAACCTCTGATATGCAGATGACACAACCTTGGTTGCTGAAAGTGAAGAAGACTTGAAGCACTTTGATGATGATTAAAGACTATAGTCTGCAGGATGGAATACACCTCAACATTAAAAAAACGAAAATCCTCACAAATTGACCACTAAGCAGCATCATGATAAATGGAGAAAAGATTGAAGTTATCAAAGATTTCATATTACTTGGATCCACAATCAATATCCATAGAAGCAGCAGTCAAGAAATCAGACATCATATTGCCTGGGCAAAGATGGTGCAAAAAACTAAAAAAAACCAAACTCATTGCTGTTGAGTTGATCCCGACTCATAGCAACCCCTCTTTGGATTTCTGAGGTGGCATCTCTATAGAAGCAGATTGCCCAGTCTTCCTTCTGAGGAGTGGCAGGTGGGTTTGAACTGTCAGCCTTCTAGTTAGCAGTCAAATGCCTTAGGCACTACACCAAAAACTTCATTAAAGTGGCGAAGAGCAAAGCTTTAAAGACTATGGTGTGCCTGACCCAAGCCATGGTATTTTCAATCACCTCATACACTTGTGAAAGGCTTCAAATGCTGTATTTCATTCGGAACAAATTAACTGTAAGTTTCCAGTGTAAAAAGCTAACAATGTCCTGGACAGGAAAAACATAACAAAAAACATGCAATTTAACCATTAAATTGATGAAATACTGAAATTATTCTGATATTAGTTAAATTAGTTGTTTTGGTTTTGAATTTAATCTGGTAAAGTTTTAGATGGAAAAGAAAAGGAATGAATATTTAAATTCCTAAAAATTATACATCTTTCCCAAGAGTAATCAGTGCCCTTTAACAAGAAATTTTCACATTTATAAATATAATCTGGGATACATGAGTAACTAATGACAACATTCTACTGAACTTTTGGAATCTATTTATTTTTCATCATATTAATTATGGGTAATGATTCTTAATAAAAACAAAAACATCTTACCCATAGGAAGCCATGAGCCATGGAGAATGAATCTGTTTGATTTTCATTATTTAGGTAAGGTTCAGGATTGTAAGCAGCACATTCAATCTAAAATGGAATACAGTTAAACACCCACATATAAAATGGGATTAGGAAGCTTCTAGACTACATAATGCCTTAAGTGGCTGACTTATAGTTTTGACATAAAACCACAGACATGTCAGGTTATTACCTATAAAAGGTTAAAAGAGGAAAAGTAAAAGATTAAAGTACAAGCCTCCGAAATTAGCTTTTCAAAGGCAAATACCTAAGAAGTTTTATTCTTCAGATTCCAGCAATCAAGCTGAAAACAAATGCCATAGAGCATGTCAGATAGGAGGGCTGAAGCTTACTGGGATAAAAGTAAGCACAGAGCTTACAGAAAACGCAGCTTTTTTTTTTTTTTCCTTTTCTTGTAGTCACAGGCTTCCCAGGCGATATAGTGCAGGAAGGGTTCTGTGAATTCCAAAGGAAGTGGTCTCTCCCTTTCTAGTCAGAGGAACTATTGGAGAAACCCAGTCTTGAAGTCTAAGAGTCTGTCATAGGCCAAAAATGAGAAAATATAATGTTTTTATCTATTGTTTAAAGAACAGGACATTATAAAATTCATGGAAGTAAATGAAGGAGCTGACTTGTGCCTGAATTGACAACGCAGCACTCGTTAATAAAATTCCACCTTGGCAGTGGAGTTTGCTTTAGTAGAGTGGGAAAAATCCCTCAAGAAAAAATGAGGGTCTAATTATGATCCTTTTTTAGAAACTATTTGCCAACCACAGGCATAACAAAATTGACAAATCTGAACCACATGCCTCCCTTACCTAAACTAATAATGCTTTGAATGCAATAGAGCTGTTTTAATACTGCAGTATCCTGCAGTGATTAAACCCCAGGAATGGTCTTCAAAGATAGCAGCTTAGCAGACAAGTGACAATTTGCCTTTAAACTACCCAATCTTAAATTATTTCTACATAAATCACCTCTAGATAAATACTCACTATAAGTGACTTTGTAAGATAATGCTTTGATTATGTCCTTTAATAGTAATTTCCTACGTAAAGCAAATTAGATAAAGAAAATACTATCTATATGTAGGGTGAACTATTAAAAGAAAATCACCTCACTTTACCTTAAACTCCTGCTGCTTGGCCACCATCACAGGCATGTACCGAACAAGGAGAGGATGTTTATCTTTTTTAATTTGATTCCCATCATCTTCTACACAGAACCAACCCATATGGTTCTCCTCCTCTTTAGTTATATTCAGAAAGAAAATGAACAAGGACAGTAATTAATTTACACTTAACATAATCTACAAATTCAGTAAGGTCATACTAATAGAACATTCTAACATTCTCTCTTTTTTTAAGATTTTAAAATAAATGTTTTATTTCTGGAAAAGAGTAAATTTAAGTGTCTTTACCTTTTCCTAAAGGACATAAATGTACATCCATTGTTTTATTTTAAAAAGTACAATGGCCCACATCTAAGTGACCATCTTATCTTTCTGTTTGCTCTTCTGGAATGTGCTGGAGGGGAAGGGCTGTGAAACTTCTCTATGTCAATCAGCTTTTTTTTTCTTCCTTCCAAAGCAACTGACTCAGTTTAAATTCAAATGCCAGGGATATACTAAAAACAAAACAAAACAAAACTCCACAGCCATAGAGTCGATTTCGACTCATAGTGACCCCTATTGGGTTTCCAAGGTGGTAAATCTTTACCCATCTTCCTTCCACAGAGCAGCTGGTGGATTTGAACTGCCAACCTTCTGGTTAGCAGTCAAATGCCTTAGTGGCAGTCTCCTTTCATAAAGATTATAGCCTTGGAATCTGTATGGGGCAGTTCTACTCTGCCACATGGGGTCACTACAAGTCAGACATAAACTCCATGGCAATGGGTTTTATCTAATTATCTCTTTACCAGGGATATAGTTAGAGAAATTTTAACATGGTATAGTATATGGGATAAAAATAAAGTATAACCAAATGAAGAAATAGTGAAATAGCTTAATACCAAAGCAAACTGTTGTGTAGTTTTGAACATGTAATTAATCTGAAGATGAAAAAGGAATTTATTTTCAGGTTCAACCTATTCTCTTCTGTTACC